TAAACTTTAATTCGTATATTCTGTGTATGTTTTAAGTAGTTCTGTGACTGTTACTCTGCCTTCAAGTAGACAATCCCCAAAAATGTGGAATGTGCAAATACTTCGGGACCAAATTCCATGAAGAAGAGTGCTTCCGTGAAATAGGACCTTCCCAAAAATTGAGAATGTGATTTTGGCGTATTTGTCTACAGAAAGGGTTGCGGGGACGGCCGTGTACAAGCCAATACTTTTATCCTCCCAGGGAACCTACTTCCTAGTCACCAAGAGTTGGAGCTTCCGTAGTCTTAGACGGTAGCCGATCCAAGAGTTCACTCCCATAGCGGCGATGTAAACAGCGCAACATGCCACTACACCACCAGCACTCAGGGTAGAACTTCGTTGATATCGTTCGCTGTAGCGATGTGCGTCGACTGGGATGGCAAACAACCCCAACTTGCGGCGATTTTCTCCGTCATTTTTCTTTCTTTTCTTCGTTGGTTGTTTTTTCCTTAAATCGTATCACCAACTGATCATTCTACCGCTGGTTGTTGTCTTCCTAAGTCGATCAACAACTGAACACTTTTGGTAGAAGAGGCAGCTGACGGAAGAATTATTCCACGCCTCCAGACACCGCTCTTCATTGCTACGATATCGAATTGATAACGGCAATTGCGTACGTGGGGTCGTCTCAGATTTTGCATAAATGTACGACAGGTTGACCTACGCGCGGAAGTTCATCAGCGATTTCGACCCAGTCGCCCAACCAAAGATGCCACGTTTAATCTTTTGATTCTCTGGTTCTTTTATCTTTTTACAATAGAATAAAAATCCCTCATCGCGCTAAATCTCTTAGATCGCTGGTTCTTAAATCTTTTAGATTCTTCTCTGATTCTTAATCAAATCTCTCTGGGATTCAATGCCAAACGGGAAAATCAAAGCAGGAATTCTGTTAGATGTTTTCAGCTTTTGGTATGTTCTTTTTTCTTTGAGTTTTGCTTGTGCTGATGGCGCATCCCTAAGTCGCGGGGCTGCTTCATTTACCATGTCTTGGACCCGTTAGTCTGGCCCTACATCGAATCTCAGATCGATCTAGCGTTCCGACAAGCCGCAACTCATTCCCAGGTGGTCAGAGATCAGTGTCACCCATCAGCCGGCCTCCACACCGTGAATGTTGCTTGTCAACGAAATATGCTTACCTTTCTGTACCACCGATGTCCAATTAAATAATTCCAATTGCTGTACTCGTTTAGCTGCCTAAAGGGCATAATCAGCACTCGTTGCTTTTTCTCCTGTTCACAGCAATTGCTCTGCACTTTTTGGAGAAGTGCATAGTGCGCACACCCTATAAATACCAGTGCTATACTTTTTTCCTGTCTTCTCGTTATACTTTTTCCTGTACTCCTCGCTATACTTCTTACTAGCTGGATAGTGTAAGGTTCAGGTTCGTGTTTCCAGGATCAAGTCTTCAACAAAGCTTGCCTTCTACACTCCTTTTTATATTTAATTTTTTTAAACGCTCGCTAGTGCACGAGTGGAAGGGTAAAAGCGAACTGAGCGCCATGTGCGTACTTCCTGGATTCTAGTCTATTTGGGATTAACGTGAAGGAAGTTTTCAAGGAAAATAGGATGTGGAAAAATTTAGGAAGATGGCAGGTGGGATGGGGTTGTGGAAACGGCGAGGTCGTCTTTTGCAGATTTTCTTGATAAAAGGTGAGACGTCCATGCTGCTAGCGCAGCGCGAACCTACCCTTCATCCCAGTTGGCCCGGTTCCCTTTTGCGAGATTGCTCTAGGAGGATAAAATGTAGAATATATAGGTGTGGCATCTGTAAATACGCACTATCGTCCAGCTGGAGCAACTTTTTGTATAGGCCCTAGTCGATTGCATGGCATATTTCAACAAAGTCCCATCAAAATTGTGTTTTTGCACTTTTTGCGCCTAATTGACACTTTACCCTTTCTCTAAGTGAACACAACGAGTCTATTTTGAGAAAAAGGTTTTAGGCTCCACGGAGGCGGGCAAAATTGCAGCCAGCTTCCACTTAGCGGCCTCTTTTATGCTCTCTAATCTACCTTAATGGATTCGTTTGGCTCCGCTACTCATTCACGTGCAATGACGCTGAAATTAGGAAGCACCTATGGTCGTGGTGGTTGCTTGCCAAGCATGTAAAGTGCTATACGTAGCTTTTGAAAATGCCGTCAACCCGCTGACATTTCAGTGTTGTGGAGTCGGGATATGAGGGAATGAGGAAGTTTTTCTCGTCAAGTGTATTGGATTTCGTTAGCCCTATTGGACAACATGACGACAACTATCCAGGGTAATCTATTTCCATACATTTCATTAGAAGTGCGGAATGACACTTTAATGAATGTCCAACTGATGGACAAGTCGTTAACATATTGCCTAGTGTGAGTCGGAAATAGGCTCTGATTGTCCAGCGATAGCCGATTGACAGGGGATGGAATGCGTCAGGGGTCCAAAGTTCATTTCCCTCCCACCTTTCCCTTAGTGTTGCTCTTGTTTTCTCGTTCATCGGAGATTAATCGGGGAGAAAGGTTTGACTACTTGTAAAATAAGGGAATTCCACCCTTTGCTCGCCGAGCAAGGGCCATGGGAAATCAGGCACAACTGTCTTCGGGGGTGGGTGAGGTAGCAGCGTATTCTAGGTTACACGTAAAATTACTGAAATTTGCAACATCAGAGGTTCCTCTGAAAATGAACGCTGTAGATGAACGCTGAATAGGTCTTGAGGGTGATCAGACCTGGGCTCATACAAAATCCTTGAGTTCAGGGGAGCCCCATTGTAGATGACTGCGTATCAGGCTGCCGTAATCGCCTGTAATGGCAAATAGTCTCCCGATTCCAGCTAAAGTCACGTGTTAAAAAGAAAATGGTTCAAGTCTTCGTACCGAATAGTTGTGATGCAGCACCCTAGGCACAGCATCTCCCTTGCTCAACTTCATCTTCTTGGCTTCACTGTAAGTTTGTTCAAATAAATTTCTCGTGATGAGCTCGAGTATGTACGCAGGAGTAAGCACTGCAGAGGGGGGGAGGAAAAAGAATAATTTTTCCTTGGCTTTCAAAGCGAAATGAGTCATACACTACCAAATTCTGATTAGACTTTTCCACCACCAAATCCAGCAACGCGTTGCACACAATCACAAAAATCCGCCACGGTCTTGAGTGCCATCGAGAGATTATGCCGTGATTCGGTGCCTGAGTTCAGCGATCGTTCATTTCTTCGCTGTAGACCACCCTGTTGAGCTACAGCAAAACCCAGTAATCGAGAGAGTTCAGGTCAGGTGACACATTTGGACATCCTGTCTTCTTCAGGTACTCAACGCCTTTCGATCAGCAGAAGGCGAGAGTTTTCGATTCCATATGCGGCACCCAATCCTGTAGCAGTACAAAGTTTCCAAGATGTACAGGCGACGACATGAAGGCAGGATATTCTCCTCGAGCTGTTCGATGTAACCGTCAGCGTTCACTTTCAGTCCGGGGTCCACGAAGAAAATATCGGTCTTTCCATTCCAGGAACTTCCGGTCCATACCATCAACTGGCGCTTTGGGACAGCGGTGAAGATGATATCCTGAACAGCAACGGCGTTGTCGGACTGCTCGATGTTGGAGGTCTTCCAGCTCAAGGATGCCAGACCCTAGGTAGCTTGTAGGTGACCCGATACACAAGAAGTTCCGCAGCTGCTCGGTGGTGACGTGAATTCATAAGCAAGGTATGAACTTCTACGCGAGCTACTCGGAAGACAATCTGCACACTCACGAGGACGAAATTGGGATTGTGAAGGGGAATTGGTCCGTAGCCGCAGTGGCCTGCCACATTGTCTGCTCAAAACTGAAAACTGAGCTGTAGGGTCAGTGAGTACCAGAGTGCCGTCTTCATACTCCCTTACACTATCCCCAAGGCGCACGGTCGTGCCGATACTTTGCTCGAAACCAGCACTCAGCAGTATACAACGACCATAAGTGAGAGTACGCGGACAAGAAGCGCACTTGGCTATAACTATTTGTGTGGTGGGTGCTGCAGCGCGGGCAGGGTATGGAGACAACAACCAGGTGTTCACTACCCTCCTACCCCGTTCCTGCGCACTATCGAGCAGAAAAAAGTGGCGCGCTATTTAGCTGCGGACCCATTCTCCAGCTGACGGCAAGGACCAGGATCCATGGAGGTGAATGTTAAGTTTGTCTCCAAGTAGTCGCAAAATATCACACGAATGCTGAGATATTGATCAAAAGTCGTAATATGCGTGACGGATAACGCAACCGCCCGGTAAGCGGGAGATGCGGGTTCGAGTCCCGTCCCGGGTCCGACTTTTGCCAATATCTCAGCATTCTTGTGATAACTTTCGGAGCGCGCACTGCGGCGTTAAACAGCAGTTATCAACCAAAACAGCTCCAGTAATCGCAAATACTATGTGCAGTCCTGATGACCATCTCGGCTTCACCTTCTCGTGGCCGTGAGCGCTAACGGTCAGTTCTTGATCCTTAAAACTGATTTGGTACGTGACGTTACGGCCAGTGTGGCGAACTAGGCCCTCGCACACGCGGAGCGACGCACCATCATCAGCACCAGGATTTCGAACCACTAAACATGGCAGCTCCAGTGCGCGTCGACCTATCTTCCAGGTTAACTCGCACTATGGAAAGTGCACCCTAGATGAGCATCCCCTTTATATTTTTCATTGAATCTTTCGTGTACTTTGGGGGAAGTAACCTTCGATGCTGCCCACTATAAGCGAAATACCTAGCTACCCATTCGCGTATTTCTAGTGAACAAAAGACAATGAATAACTTTACATGCACACAGTGTGATATTTTCAGAACATAGCAAGAGATATTTATAAACAGGTTAAAACAATATAGAGAATAGAGATCAAATCAAAATACCGGGATCAAATGTTACGCAGATTACTTTTTGAATCCCGAATTCATACATATGCTGATGTTTGTGCTTGAGTGAACGTTTGTGTGAGTAGTCGATAAGTGGAACCCCTTAATTTCGGTCGTCACCGTTCTCCTTTTCCCATAGAAGATGGATCGAATTCCTTGGTGAACTTGCTGGTTGAATAGGAGCAGAACAAGAGGATTAACAGTAATGTTGATCGGATCTGAAAAAGATGAAAAATGGACAAAATCTATTTGGGGATGATGCGAGCTTTTCGGGGTAGATTATTTTAGATCTAAACTGCTAGTACCAGTTATATTTCAATATGAACTCATTAATCATTCAATTTGCTGTTAACCTGAGACCAACGAATCAATGAATATATGGGCAAATTCCAAGAAGTAACTTAGCTTCTGTTTTGCATGGAAAGTGCTGGGATACCTCTGGGCACATCACTGGTTGGGAATTTCGGTCGAGTTTGTGCGACCCCCCGTTCTTTGGGGAGTTGGTGCGAGCCCTTCTCCGGCCCTCTGCCCTTCTTCATCGAGCTGTCGAGGGGGGGGGGGATGGGGAAGGGGGTATATAGTACACATGAAACAGGAAAATCACGAAAAGTCAACCACCTCTCCCAGAAGGCCAGAAAGTAAACTGAAAGTAAATACGACCCCATCCCTCTAAACACCCCTTTTACAACGTCCGTCAAGCGAGAAAAATCAACTATCAAAATAAAATTTTCTCAGCCCAAATACGAGCCCCTTGTTGGGGATTCCCCAACAACGATGTGCCCTGGGATGTATTGATGCGCAGGTGCCATATGACAGTGTCCATGCACCGAGCTTTCATCATGTAAAGATTGTGGTCGAAAACGACCATATTCAACTTTCCCACCAGATTTTAATCTTTGCTTAGGTACATGGTTTCGATATCGAACCTTCGCTGAAAGGGAGGTCGACTGGGGAAAAAGTGGGATAAGAGAGCGACAATCGCTAGTTCTACTTGTACTCCTCCTCAATCTAAGCGGTAAAAGGGGATGGTAAGCCATTATCTGCTCCCACGACGGGTGCCTTGCGACTGAAGGATATCATTCGGTTGGTCACCAAGGTTAATGATACAAGGTGTGGGCAGGGGGCAAATCGCAGACCAGAAGCCCTCGTAAAAATCTTGGTTTGCCTACGTTGAAGTTACACTCCCTCCCCCTAAAACGGAGTTGGTGGGCATTTGAGTGTGGCACATGATGGGCTCTTCGTGGAATATTTCAGTCTGAGAGAACTGTCATCTCGTTCTGTGTTGAACACGACTATTGTCTCGAGGTGAAAATATTTCACCAAAAGCACAGCCGCCCATACGTTTGGTTGAAGCTCGTAGCCACGCCTACCGCATCTCAGGGATTTCCTGCGTCTATTCAAACCACTACGCCCCCTTGCCCCGCTCACCTCGCCCAGTGTTTTACGGTGTCTCCGAGCTGCTGGTCAGGTCATATCATATTGCAAGTACACAGTAAAGATTATTCCCCACAGTTTTACTTTTACTTCACGAAATTCTGCAATAAATACGTCCACTGACCTATGATATTTATGGCGACATTACCCCAGACGGAGTTTCCACCGATTTTGGGAACGAAGAAGAATAATAAAGCTGACATATTCTGAGAAAGGCATATAACGGTGAACTGGATAGCCTGAAAATGATCAGCCGATTTTTATTCGAGGTCTCGTCACAGCTTTCACAAAATTAAGCAGTCTATCTGCTGATGTCAAACCAACCAATTTGAAGTCGAAAAGCGTATTGCGTTGTTGAGAGGCAACTGCCTGCTTACGTCTTCGATATACAGATACTAAAATGTATATGTGGGCGGCAATCATCAGCACTGGAATTCCTTGACCAAAATAAAAATTCACGTCCATGAAGGTGAATCCGACTGGAAGATGCAAATTATCTGAGGAGAAGAGAAAGGGGTAGCATGACAGGATGTGCTGATGTGATGAAGAAGCCCGGCAAAGACAATCGTGATTTGCGACGTCGCAGCGCATCTAGCGGCGATGCGAGATATGGTGAAAAAGGTCACCCTAACAGCCTCCCTCCTCTCGAACCTCTTTTGTTTTGTAGGGAGGATAACTGTATAACGCACCTTCGCCCGAACTCCGCCACACAGCTGTTCGCTCGCCTGCGGACCAACTCGGTTTAGGGTACAAATGAGATCGCTCAAGTGACGGGATCAGGACGCCCCCTCACCCCAAACATTCCTTCCTCGATACGACCCACTTTTTTAAGCTACCTACTATCTTACAAAGTTTCCAGCACTTTACCGCCGAGGGGGTGGTAGACAACATCAAGGAATAACGGGTTTGCCGCGCCGCGAACTCGGGGCTGGGGGATGAAAAATTCAGGAAAGCAGCTGGGTCACTGCTCCGCGAGCTAGGAGGTCGGGGAGAGGGGTTGCCGCAACTGCAACCCTCTCACCTTTTATCATCTACCTTTGAAGAAAGAAATCAGAAGTTCTCAGAAGTAAGTTTGAGCAGTTGAACAGCAAGAGCTTCATTCCAACCTGTGCCGAGGATCTGTGCCTAACAGTAGACAGTAACTTACATAAAATTTCACAAGTGGAGCAGTCGTACGTATATCTAAGAGCGTATCGGTTGAATCGCTTCAAGCAACCCATCGTCGTCGTACCAAACGTCATGAATAACGTGAGCAACCATGGAAATGCGAGCAACACCTAAAAAAAAGAAAGTTACCCTTTCTTTAATCTTCCCTTTCAATAACTAGCTTCAGGTTCGATTTTTGGTCATAAGCACCATGCCACGCTTGCACATCAGTTCCCTCTCGGCTTATTAGTGGTAGTAGGGCAGAGCACATCGTTGATGGGGATTTCCCAACAGGAGAGGTCGCATTTAGTCGCTGGCAAATTGGGGAGGGAGCGTATTTCAGCTGAGAAATTTTTTTCTGATCGTTGATTTTTTTGTGCTAGGGACGATGTAAAGAGGACTCATATTTGCTCGTTGATAGGGGGGGTCGCATTTCACTTCCGGTGGGAGAAATTGGAAAGGTTTCTGAGTTTTCGTGGTTTTTCCTGTTTTGTACTATCTGCTGCCCCCCCGCTCGATAGCAAAATTTTTGGGTAAAAGAAGGAAAATTGCCGGAAACTTCTGGTGGAAAGTGGTAGGAAGTTGGAAGAATTTAGGAAATTGGGGAGTAGGATGGTAGGGGAAGGGGGATCGTATTCAAAGGGGGAGTCGTATCAAGACACCCGCTAAAGGGGTTTGAACCAAATCCCCAAAAAAGTGCGGTTCGTACGGACTTGACCAAAATCGCCGACCAATAATGTGTCCTGCCACCAATTACTTTCAGTGGATGGGAACGTACCTTGATGATAAACTTTTTGTCACTGAAATTTGTTGACATAATCACTCCGAACCGATAGACGGTGAAAGTCATCCCTGTGAGCAGATAACCAAAGTAAGCTATCGTGTTCGGCGTTGCCAACAGTACCATCGACAAGTCCGTACTGAAATATTAGAATTGGTGAAGAAATTCCATTAGTAAGAGCACAGATTGATAGGAGGTACCTGACGAATCCGCATTTATTAAGTGTGCATGGGACCGCTATCCAGAGATTGTTCGTCGTAAAGAGCAGACCCGCTATGGACATATTTATGACGAAATAAGTAAAATGCTGAAAAAACACCGTAACGATAGATAGAGAGGTTCTCGTACTTGACTCTTCCATACGGTTCCAGCTGTATGTTCCATACAGTTCAGGCACCGACCTTTTACAGTGAAAAGCCAACGAGCTACAGTACCTGTGAACGAAAGCAAGCTCTCCATTGGAGAAAGAATACAGTAAGCAGAGCTACATTACAAACAATAGCAATCAACGAGCACACAAGGATGAATCCGGCCACAATCGGCCTGAAAAAAAGGTTTTGGAATTCATAAAGGATTGATGTATCTGTAATGATAACGAGCTTGGCAATGTCTTGCCTATACACCAATACGTACTTAGCCTTGATATTACCTCTCTTCACGGTCTTGTTTTCGCCTGTATACATAGACTTGACCCATAAATTATAGTAGAAGAAGGCTTTCTGCACTTACTTTCCTTGGCGGAGGAGTTTATAGATGTCTTCAGTCGGTGGGGGTGGTGGGAGAGATCGGATATGGCGCAGCACCAGACCATTTCCCACCAGCTGTTGTAGCTCGCCCGCTTCAACGATTGTTGGAGAAGGTACTCTCGCCGCGCCAAACCCATCATCGCCGACACGACCTAGCGAAAATGGTTGTACAGGTGCCCAGGTGTGATTGAATGTGGTTCGGATTCACACTCCAGTCCATGAAGGGCTTATACTTTCCCGATCGGTTGATTTTGTGTCAACGAACTGGAGATCTTGTATGAATCCTGTGTCCTTGTCTACTTATCCAGAATTCCGTGTAACGTAAGTATAAAATCGGACTTTGAAACATACATATCACCGCAATTGTCGGGTCGCAATCAGCGGCTCGCACCTGCGGCGTTTCCATCATTGGTTGCTCCCTCCCTAAATCGATCTTTACCCGATCGCCATTGGTAGAGCAACGAGGCCGAACGCCCATTTGGACCGCGTTGCACAGCCGCCCTCCGACAGTCCGCAATGATGAGGACTGTACTTCCAAACTGAGGGTGTAGGGAGCCAGGCTCTTCAGGCTCTTCAGGACAGGATTTTGAATACTGGGTGGAGCACAAGTTGGTGAAAAATCCTCACCTGTCTGCTCCGCTAACATCGCCGGAGCTGGACAAACAAGAGTCAACTGTAACAGCAGAATCGTTAAGAAAATCACCAATAATAGCCGAGTCATTGCGGGAAATCTGAAAGTTGGGGTTCATGATTCAACACACTATAACGGAGACCTTCGTTTCAACTATCACAGTATTATTGCGACTTACCATCATCGAAAACAGAACACTGCTATATTTCTGACATTGACCAGAATTCGGTCGTCTTCTGTGACGTCAAGCAGTTCTAGAAAAAACTAAAATCGTCCTGAATATCACTGTCTGTTTAACTTTAGTAGTAATAAGCCTTGAAGAGAGGGCACGCAAAAAAATTGAAGGAATTGGTGCATTTGTGGCAGAACTCTCAAGTCCTGGAGATGCTAAGAAAGACGAGTATTGCGGGTTCCTACTGGGAGCTTATGTTACTTCGACTGAAGAGAAGCCTGTCGAGGAGTAAGCATGGAAATTTTAACCGTCGGACGGGCCAATGTCAAGAGGGATGGAGTGAGTACACCAGCAGCACACCTACTACTCCTTAGGCTGACCGCTAGTCCATCATCATTAATAGAGCAGGGAAAGTGGAGGAGGCCTCATTCCGCTCCTGCTAAGACCGCACCGACTGACTGCGACCCTAATCTAGCATATAACCTTGTTGAACTCTCTTTATTAAAGGCACATTCCGCGATAAAATAAGGCTATGACCTCTCAAATGTGTCGGACGATCCGGAAGGCGATTTTTGAGGCTGCGCTACTTTCAAAATGTGAAAAACGGCAAGAACTCCGCTAGAAGCTGACTAATTAGGCCCATGCCGACCCTCACCGGCTGCTAGCTACTAGCTAGTAGCCACTATGTTATCTTTCTCTATAACATTTCGGACTGCTTTTTCTGCTGCTTTTCTCCGCTAATCAGATACTTAGCACTTTTTTGTGCCTATTTGAGTTCCGTTTCCCGCAATTTGCGGTCGCGAACTGTGCCTTTAAGGGTCCAAGGGATGGATCAACGATGGAAACGTCCATTCGAAATGAGATGGGCACGGCACCGACTGGTGTTTCTGTGTCTCCGACCAAAGTTACGGTGAGTTTTAAAGAGGGCATCTGTACACTCGATACGAGTTTCGGATGCGAGGCTACTTTGAATGTGGGGCTGGTTGCATCGAATTGCAACGAATTTGCAGACATAAGGCCAACCACATAAGGAGTTACGGTGCCACATTAATGAATGAGGAGATAAATATGTTTTCGGAGAAGCCATAGGTTTAAGACATTAGCAAAATATAAAAAAGTTCTTTCGTTGGAGCATTCCACCTCCTTTGTATGAGCAGCCATGGATCAAGTAGAATAACCATGATGGCAAGGGCGACTGTACAACAACTTCACGATTGAGAGATCGCACTTCATTTAAGAAGTCAGGCTATTGACATTTCGAATTCGAATTATCACAAGAGAAGCAAGTACTCTTTTATTCGTTTCGAAGCGCTCATATCACAAAGGAGCAGTTTGGCTTGATGGAAGCGTTTTGCTGATTCCCATCGATCACTGCTCAGCCTTCTACGGAGACCTGTAAATTTTTGCAAAGCTCTGCTCTAAGAGGGAAGTAGATGTTGAGTTGCAGTCATCAACATTAGTCTGTATGGTTAATAGTGCAAAGTAGGAGTGATAAACGGTCAGGTCTTGCAGTGTTGCAACGGTAGTTCAAAGCCTTACCGTAGACGCAATCAGTATAGTTCTGCTGAGAACAGAGCGTGAAAAGTTTGAAGGCACGGAAGAGTTTGCATCGGGCTCCCTTCTTCGTCTAGACTTCTTATACCTCCTGCACCTTTGAGCTCTTGCCACTAAGTCTCCGCCTCCTGTAATCCGCAGTCGTCATTGAAGCTGTACGCTCTAGGAAAGTGACCAAATTGAACTTAATGTGGACCCCATCCTTACCCACGAATTCTTTGTCTTGCATGTGATCCACTTTCCAATAGAGTGGTTTTGGGAGATCAAATCCTGGATCGGCTGCCTTCCAGGCCAACCAAGCTCTATTCCTTCCGAAGATAGTACCGCATTACCGCCCGTGACTAGATACTTCCGATCAATTATCAAAAATAGTGGTTTGTCAGCACGATGGTGGGGAACTCCGGGGCCGAATACGACTCCCTTCACCCGGCGACCAAGTACGACCGCCGAAGAGTTCCATACATCAAGCTCCACTGCTGTACTCCAAGAAGATGTATATAGTCATGAAAATACCCCTCTACTCACCCCATATTACTTGTTCAAGTATGACATCGCTCAGCGTTCATTGAAGCGTAATAAATTGGTCAATTCTCCCAGTGTATCATAGGTTATCTCTTTGCTGTAAGGTACAGCGAAGAGATAACCTAGCAAACAGAATGCTACGTGATTCAAACAGCTTATCAACTCTTGAGGGATATGACTATCATGGGTCAGCCACTTCATAGCAATTCCCTATTGGTCAGGTAGGCCCTATAAGTTCCTTCGGAGACAAGCTGAACACGCACCTGCGAGAACATCCCCTTTCTGTGCGAA